AGCAGTAGCTTAGCCGTAGCAGCAGCAGTAGCAGCAGCAGTAGCAGGAGGAGTAGGAGTAGGAGTGTAGGAGTAGGAGTAGGAGTAGGAGCAGGAGTTGTCGGTGGTGGTAGTAGTAGTAGTAGTAGCAAGTGCAAGTAGTAGTCGTCGTAGTCGACGTCGTCCTCGTAGTCGTCGTAGCCCTCGTCGTCGTAGCAATAGCAGCGGCAGCAGCTGAACGCCTAAACCCTAAACCCCATCGGAGCCTCAGCTTCCTCCCTTGCCAGACGCGCCCGGGAGAGCACGGCGACCGCTTGGCGGGCTGCCTCTCTCTCGGATGCTCTTCTCTCTGCTTCGGGGCGTTAAGGCGTAGGGTTTACGAGATTAGAGGGCTCACACCATGTTCATAACGGAGTCTGAAAAGGGGTTATAAGGGGTCTACAGGGTTGTGTTTTGGGTGTGTTGCAAGATGTGTCCATAGTTTACCGGGTGCAGGGAGGGTCAGGGGCTTGGGATTCAGGATTTGGGGTGTAGGATTTTGGCCACAGGATTCCGTAAGCCTCAGACCCTCAAGCCGAACGTGTGAAAGCTGGGCCAATGGCCTCGGGGAACGCTCTGAGGCTTGGGGAGACTGTTGAAGTTTCTCAGGCTGCTTGTGACATTAGGGTTTAAGGCTCAATGCTCAGGAAAGCTGCGGGCCGAGAATCAAGGGGTTCCGGGTTCCGAGGCTCAAACTCGATTTAGCGCAGGATTGCGACGGCTCCTTTGCATCCAGAAATCTGGGGTGTCCACGCCGAAACTCTGGAGTCAGGATCCTAAACCCATGCACCGGCGTGCAGGAAAACTTCGTTATCGGATGAGGTTTTCAGGTTTGAGCCCTCTACGGGAACGAATGAGCCCAACCCCAACCTGGGGATCAGGAGCGGCGTGCCTGCAGCGCCGAAGCGTTGTCACCTTGCTGGACACAGACCTCTGCAGCATAGTCGGCGCAGGTTTGGGGTTTTGTGTTCCTGGCTGAGGGCTTACCAAGCACAAGGTTTAGGCTTCTTCTCAAGGGTCGGCGCAAGTTCAGCTGGCTGGTTTGCGGGATCTATGCATTACGGCGGCATGGTTCGGGGCCTCAAGTCCTTATGCACTGCCCGGCGGGGCTGGTATGACTTAATTACGTACTCGAAATCAGACCTCTGTCGGATGTAGCACAAGTTGCTACTTCGGCCCGGAAATTTGCAACACCCCCGTCTAAACTGCTACAAACCCTTGCAAGCCTTATGAACCAAGTAGATCCAAGAACCACCCATGTGAAAACCCTAACCCCCATGAACCCTTCTAGATTAAACCTTGTATGGGCCACTGTAAACCCTGTTCAACAAACCCTTAAACCAAACTCTTCCCGCCACTGTCCTTGGCGCAGGCGCTGAGGGCTGCAGCTTCACCCTTCCTCGCGTCGAAAAGTAGCCATAGAAGTGGTTCAGGGCTTTTGCACAAGCGTGTTTAGCAAGGTTTCAAGGTTTAGACGAGGCTTCGTAGGGTTCGGACTCTAAGTGCTTTAGGGATGTTTGTCTAGGATCTTCCCGCACTACTGGCTGATTCCGGCGCTCACAACTCTCTCATACACCCCCTTTAACCCTAAACGCTGAATCGATTCTCGTCAAAATTCTGAAGGTGCCCAGAGACGAACCCCTGTGAAAACCTGCAAGGTCTTATAAGAACCCCATTCTAATTCTTAAGACCCCACAACAAACTCTGTAAAGAAGCCTGCAGCACACCCTATGAAACTCTTCTAGACCCATGAATACAACCACAAAACAACCCTAAACCCAAATTCTTACGGCCCCCATGTCTCCTGTCTCCAAAGGCGCGGTACAACTTCGCAGCGTCCTCCGCCATGGCCACCGCCTTCGCAGAAGCTCTGAGCAAGCAATAGCGGACACAGTGTAAAGCCTAAGTCGCAGGGTCCCTACTATGGCTTTTTTTTGTCGCTCCTTTTCTCCAGCAACACAAGGTCTCTGGGTCCCTACTGTTTAGGGTTTAGGGGATTGACGGGGAGGGTGTAGGGGGTTTTCTTTTTCTGAAGTGAAGGGTTTAGGGTGTGGTACCGTGCTTCTTGTCTTCTGAAACCCCAAGCCCAAGTTGAAGCGCAAACCCAGCGGCCCGCCTTGGGAGGGTCATTCAAGGCCATGAGGGTCGGGACGCCGACTTCCACGAGCACCGCAGCTTCTTGGATCCTAGCTGATTCAAGAATTCCTTGCATTACAAGGGTAGTACAAAAACGGCTCTACAAAGCTACCCTAACTTATGGCTACTCATTCCAGAGGTTGCTGTACTGCTACAAAGCTACCGCATGAAAAAATAACACCATAAGAAGGTTACATATTAAGGCTGCTATATCAACGGTTACTCTTTTTGCAGTTCTTCTCGTAGCACACAGGCCTTATAGCTATACCCCTAATAAAGGTTACCCCTATGAGGTTACGCTTCTTCCCGATTACTCTTTTGAAGGTTACCAAGCTACTAAGGCTACCGTGACACTACGGTCACCCCAATAACAAGGCTACTGTAATAGGGATATCAACTTAATACTAATAAGACGAAAAGACTAGTCATTACTATAACGATCAAGTCAAAAATGGCACGAGCAACAATAATGACAAGGATGACAATAATGACAATATATCAGAACTAGTAATACTAACAATAAGAAGAAGGCCCTCTTTTGGAGGTCCCTCTCCCCTTCGCGCGCGCGCGCGCGGCAGATGAAAGCTCCCGAACCCTTGTATATCCCTTATAGATCCTTTGAGGGAACCCCTTTAAGGGAACCTCCTAATTTTCCGAAATTCCTCAATAATCCCCATTATAGATCCCTTTGCTGGCCCCTTAAGGAAACCCCTACAAGGGAACCCCTTTAAGGGAACCCCTTTAAGGGAGCCCCCAACCCTTACGGGGTACCCCGAATTTTCGGAATCTCCCAGATGAAAGCTCCCGGGGCCGCTGCTGGAGCAGGCCGAGCTTCTGGAAGAGCAGGCGCGCCTCGCCGACCTCCGAGAGGTTGTTTGGGGTTTTAGGGTTTAGAGGTTTAGGGGGTTTTAGGGTTTAGGGGTTTAGGGGTTTTAGGGATTTAAGGGGTGTTAGGGTTTAGGGGTTTAGAGTTTGGGGTCTGGGGTGTTTAGGGGTTAGGGTTCAGGGTACCAGCGGGCACCTCTGACAAGGCATCCTTCAGCAAGCCCAGGGCCAAGTGCACCTGGAGCTCCAGGAACAGTCAAAGGTGCAAGGGCAGGCTGCATGACCCTGGCACTGGTCCTTGGCCAGCTCGCAGGTAGCCTCTGCCTTGCACATGGCTCAAAAGGCGGCCGGGCCATGATCAGTGCTGCAGGAATGTATCAAAGTTGATCGCTAGATGCACGTATTATGCATGCGGGTGCATGCGTCTGTTTGACAAACGATGCACCATCTAGCTATGTATGTAGCTGTCCTTCGATCTATAGGTCGACAGGTACAAATTTGTCAGTCGATCTATACATAGACAGACAGTTAGACAGGTAATACAGATAGGAGATGGACAGACGGACAAACCGTACCATCGATAAATGTGAACATATTCAAAAGTATATGTACGTATGTATGCATGTCCATATGTCTGTATGTGGGTGTGTGTAAACCTATATATAACACATCCTGCACATATGTAAAAACTAAAACATGTATTGTAATTAGTTTTCAAAATAATGATAGGCAAACAGACAGATTTATTGATAGTTAAATAGGTATTATGTACATATATATATATATATATATATACATATATATATATATGTGTATGTATATATATGTATATATAGATAGATATATTTACTTATTTATCTATGTATTTCTATTTATATATACATATTATATGTGTGTATATATATATATATATTTTTTTTAATGCCCCAGCCAGGCTGGCCTGGCCCCGGGTGTCCCCTCGGCGCTGGTACAGAGAAACGACGTCCACGGCGGCTTTGACGCTCTCGGCCACACGGCCCCTGCGTTTTGGGGTTCTGGAGGCTCGGGTCTTAATTTTGAGGTTTAGGGCTTGGGGAGGGTTCTTTTAGGGTTTAGGTTGCTTTTCTTCAGTGCAGAGGGAATCATTTCAGAGTTGCCTGGGCGTTAAGGTGTGAGATCCCTGGCCTTGACCAATCTGCATGGAGTAAACCTTATGCAGTGTATCATGGGAGTGCTACTGTGAAAGCTTCTGGGGCCCAGCTATGTGTATATCCATCTATCTACCTACCTATCCATCTATCCATCTGTCCATCTGTCCATCTATCTAGCCATTTATCTATCTGTGTATCTCTCTATCTATCTATCTATCTATCTGTCTATCTATCTATCTATCTATCTGTATCTAGCTGTCGATCTGTCTCTCTGTCCTTCTGTCTGTCTAACCATCTGTGTATTCGTTTATTCACTTACTTCAGCATCGTTACACTGAAGCATAACTCCAGCTCCCAAGAGAGTCGGCGGGTCTGTCAGAAGCAAACGAGATGAGCTTAGTTGCTACGCTCTGGCCATGCGTCTTGAGCATGACATCAGCTGCCCCCCCCCCCCCCGCCATGCACCTGGCCCGCTCGGCTGCTGACACTGCACCCAGCGCCTCTGCCAGTGAGCTCCGCAAGCTTGAATATCGAATGCAAGGAGGGGTTCCAGCGAATCGAGGGTCACTGATTATAAACACACTGAAAGACAGACTTGTTGATGGAAGCCCGTCCATCTACTCCAAACTGTTCTTCACTTCTCCTGGTTCTTTCCAGACTCCGCGAACGAGACGTGTCAGACACCACATGCGAAGCTCAGGGTTCGTCCCCCATGCGACCCCATCGCTGCCTGGCACCTTAAAGTCCTTTGACACACACAGAACTCCATCCCGCTGTTTCCCCTTTACCGGCTGTGGCAGCCCCAACCACCACGAGCTTGCCTTGACTTCGCCGCTCGTGTGCCCAAGCCTCAAGAGCGAGCGAACGGGAGAGAATGCCCTCTGAACAACACTCAGCAACTGCCAAGTACCCTCCACCAGCACCACCACCACCAAAGCTGACTTGGGTCGTTCTGGGAAAACTGAGGACTAGGCTGGCGAAAGAGCTGCAAGGCAGCAGCAGCCGTGCTTGCAGATTCCTCCACTTGGCCATGCTCCCTGCTGGCAGCGCTGGCTTCCAGCAAAGCCTCGGCGGCACACTGCTGGTCGCCAGCAGACTTGAAGGCCTCTGCCGCCTTCTTGGCTGCCTGGACCACCTGGGCCACCTGTTGAGGACCTGCTTCCACCGTGGCGGACCAGCTCAGCATCAGCGCTGCCAGCTCTCCGGGTCGATGGCCACACTTCTTGAAAAGCTTCTCAGCCTTCCCTGCCTCCGTCTGGGCTCCAGCGAGCTCCGTCTTGGCCTTGAGGACCCCGGCAAGGCCCAGAAGTGCCTGTGCCTCCGCCAGGTCCTTCTTTGCCCCCTGCGCCGCCTCGAGGGCGCTCTTCGCTACTTTCGTGGCCTCCTCGGGCTCGCTCCGGAGGACCCAGAGCCGTGCGATGCGGATCAGGGCGTCCACCTGGTCCTCAACGTCCCCGGAGTCTCGGCAGAGGCTCACGACCTCACAGCTTTCTGACAACCTTTCGTGTTCCGAGATTCTACCCTGCGGCCTCCTGCAGCAACCGCAGTGCAGGCTCCGTGTCTCCGCGAGTCAAATGGATCTCGGCGGTTGCCTTCACAAGCCATGGCAAGATCACGATCTTTTACATATTGGGTCTGTAGGGCCTTAAAGGGATCCACAAGGATTACTGTAAGGGGTATTATGGGGGTTTAGTACAGGGGCCTTAATAACTAGAGTAGGGTTTTGGGGCCCATTTTACTATTGTGATACTAAGGAACCCCCAAAATAGTATTGGTAATTATTAAGGTGGATCTTTTTAGGGCATCGCCTTGAGGGCCGTAACTTCGCCGGACAGATCTTCGCAGGTGCGCAGCTGCCGCAATGCAGCAGAAGCCACCCTCAGCGCCGAGTCCACCTCCAAGTCAGGGCACGGGAGGCATCCGTAAAATCAGGGATCGACTGTAGCACGTGTCGCAATTCACTGTCTACTAGACCTGGATGCATGCGCTTCCCAACTTCAGAAGTCCCCCAGAGCATTGCAAAGGTCTTCGCCCTGGCCTCATTCTTGTCAAGATACGCAGAGCCGACCTCCTGAAGAAGAGCGAAGGCCTGTACACGCGGCGGCAAGGAAGAGCCCCCCGGGGTCCGTGCCCCACTGTGCCCCCAAGCCTCACCCCGGGTGTCCCCAACGTCACGCAGAGCTGCTGCAGCCTGCGGATGAGCTTTGGCACATTAAGGCTGATGCCTGAAGCAGCTTCCACAAAACCGGCACCGAATCCATGTGCCACTCCGTTCACGTGCTGCGTCCAAAATCCCAGCAAGGTCTGCTTCCTCCAGGCCGTCTGCAAATTTTGCTGTTCATCTCCAGTCTTGCTCTGGGATCAAGAGTACGGAGCACTAAAAAATGCCCCGGTATCGATGGCTGTCGATTCAGCCTCCGCAAACTGTCGAAATAGCACCGCTGCGACTTAAAAGCACATGCCCTATACTTCTCGAAGCCGTTTCTGGAAGCTGACACCTCAAAGCTAGCAGAGGCGGTTTTGGAGCCAGTTGGCTCCGTCTGTATCACGACGACAGCTCTTAATTCCTGAGAAAACTTACAGACTCCAGATCTTTTCAACCCGGGGTCCAAGCGACAAGCGCACGACATTAGGAAACGCACACTTTGCCACCACGCCGTTTTTCAAACTGGTGTGCTGGCCAGTGCCGCAGAGTAAAAAAGTTGTTCTAGTTCAAACTAAAGCTCCATCAGTTCAGGGAACATCTGCTCCAACACCCAGACCTCTGGGGCCAAGTCTGAATGCGACGTGGAGTTTAAGATTTCTGACTTTGAAGTCAGGCGCTTCAAGTTTGAATGTACGTGTAGTGAACTGCCGCAACACCAGTGGGAGTCTGGCTACACGGCTGATCCCCAGTCAGACTTGCCTCAGTCGACCCCGAATGCCATCTGATGACACGCGCCTCCTGCAGCAAGATGTCGTTCTTGTACTTTCGCAAAATGTCCTTCGAAATGCAGCTAGGCATATCCACAAGGCTCATGCTTCTGCACCCAGCCAGATCATAACTAAAATGTCGATCTTTCTTAAGAGCTCGAACAACCACTGCAAGTCCCCACAAACGGCATTCCACACGCAGAAACCCCGACACCGTACACAAGTTCCGCAAAAACCACATTACGTAAACCCTACCGCACGCCTACCCCATAACCCGCACAGCAATCTTTACAGTATAGTAACCCTTTGTGATTAGCCGAAATAGCAACCTTAGTAGGAAACTTTCACGGAACCGTTTTAGTAGCCTGCAGAGTAACCCTGATGGCAACCCCTGTAGGAACTCTCCTGAGTTTAGGGTTTAAGGGTTCAGGGCATAACCCGTGACAGCAACCCCAAAATCGGGATGTCCTTCTTGCGGTGCCCAACGAGCCGGCGAGCCACGCGTTTGCGCCTGGGCGCTCCAGGTGTAACGCTTTGAGGCCTCAGGGGCTTTAGAGCTCTACGGCTTTAGGCTTGCGGTTTTAAAATAAAAGTCTTCTTGGCTGAGTGTTACAACACGGGGCTTTTAAGGGTTCAAAGATGAGGGTTTAGGAATATTGAATTTGGATCTAACTAGACGGGTTGGGGACGGGCCGGTACAAATTTCTGAAACGGTCAAACTGTCTGTCTGTCTGCCTGCATACATGTATGTTTGTGATAGTATTGACATTGACATCGTAGATACTGATGTAGCGCACGCATGTACGCAGCTCCCACAGCGTACAACTTGCTACACGGTACTACACCTTCCTTTCTGCCGTCTCTCCCTGCCTCGCGTACATGCGCATTTATAAACTGATCTGTACATGCGTACATACGAAGATGAGGGCAGACCACGCATACGCAGAGGTGCAGATGCACATAAGTACAAAAGCAATCCCCATCCTCAGACTGCTGTACCTGGGGGGAGCCTTGGTCGGGCATTTCGCCCTCCCCGTGCATTTTTCAATGTAAGTCGAGGCTGCAGGCATGCTGTCTTCCGGCATAAGACGATTTCTGTTGGCATATGATGATTTTTCGATCCTTCGGCTACCCTTCAGAACACATTGATCAAGAATGCAGTGCCCTGAATTCTCTCCAGCTGAGAGCTGATCTGTCTTGCTTTGTCTTGTTTGGTTCACTTGGATCGGCGAGGGTAGCCGTCCCTGCGGAAGGGGAATGTGAGGAGTTGGAGATTTTACAGAGATGAAACTCTGCGGTCGTGTCCGAGTCTGCCAGCTAGCTCTCTGAAGCCAGCTCCAGACAGTCTCTGACGTCGTGCGGCACTTCTGGCAGATGCCGAAACCCAAGCACAGGGTTGAGGTGTGCCTTGAAGCGACAGGAAGCTTCGATCACGCCCAGACAAGGGTTGCGACCAGATTTTATCTCGGAACGAGAAAGGCCAAGCGAGAAAGAATCTAACCACCACATCTCCGAAATCACGTGCTGCATGTTCAATTTTCTCGGACCAGACTCTGACCGCCCCAGGCCATAGTCTCGATGTACCGCAGTCCAGGTCGTCCAGCTCATGAATGCAAGATGCCCACCGTAAGAAAATCCTACAAAAGTGTGCCTGTCAGGACGTGACTGGCACTTACTGTCATGGAGCCGTGCCACAGTGCTGCGGTGAAACTCTCGGTGAGACCTTGTGGGCCAGTCGCGGTTCAGGGGCTTGCCGCTTTGCCACAACTTTACAATACATGCAAGGTCGACGAAAACTTTCTGAGCTTCGACCGATGAAATTCAGATAGGTGACGTACGGGCAGGGTTGTCGCGAAGAAGTTGGGGCTGGGGAACATAAACACATGAATGCATACATGCATACATGCCTAAACAGTGACATGCTTGTGCACATATACGGTTGCATTCGCACGTGCATAGATGTGCGTGTATATGTGCATGTTTGAACAGGATGCTGCTTTCGTCCACACCCTAAAACCCTGAAAGCCGAAACCCTTGCCCCAGAGGGTTACATCCTTCTGCCGGGGTCCCGGGCAGACAGCGGTCGACTAACTGGGCGGCTCGGATAGGAGGAGGCCGCCGAAGTTGGCCGTGATGCATACGACGCAGAAGTTGGCCGCGATGCATACGACGTCCTTGCACTGGACCTCCGTGACCTGAGCGGTGAGTCTAGGGTTTGGGCTTTTGGCAGGCAAAACACGGGGGACTCGAGCCGGGCGTCAGGCGTGGAACGGCTGGGGATGTACCAGGCTTTCGCGGAGGTGTACAGGATGTCCTTAGCTGCCCCGTCTGAAATTCCCATAGCCCTCGAACGTGGGCAGAGAAATCCGACACCCCGAAACCAGCTGTTCAGAGAAGTTGCCGGCGTGGGCGCCGACATCCTGTGGAGGACAGGTCTGTCAAAGGTTAGGTTTGTCGGTCGAAGCTGTCAAGACTTGATAGCTAGGTTTAAGAGCAGTATCACCGAACAACGAAAAAAGATAACGGTGATCACAAGCGGCACAATTATGGCACCAGATTGTATTAAGCAGTTTAAACATAAACATTATAGACATAGACATAAGAATGAGAATCGCAGTCATGAACATCACCAGCAGGTCATCATCCCATCAGAAAGGTCGAGTTTACAGTTCCAGCTTTGCCCTTTCAACATTTAGGTCTCCGGCGGCTTCCTATGCTGATCAATATAGGGGCCTAAATAATTAGAATAGGGATAGGGTTTTGGGGCCCATTCTACTATACTTTTTATAAGGAACCCCCAAAATTGTATTGGTAATTCTTTAGGCCCCTGTAGTATTTCCTAGGGTGATGCTAGGCTTGGGGGCCAGTGCTTCGACCCTGCATTGTGAAAAACAGACAACGGTAACCCTTGGCGCTTAGGTTGAGGGTTGAGGTGTTGGCCAGCGGTGAGTGTGGACTTAGGAAATGGAAGTTGGGGGGTTCAGGACTCGAAGGGTCCGAAAGGAGCAAAGGAATTGGGTTCAGGAGTTCGTGTAACATCGGGGCCCGAATCATTAGAGTTCGGGAGCTCTTGAGGCGTCGAAGCCGCCACTGCCCCAGGGCTACCCTAACCCTTAACCTGATATAGAGCTCCCCGTCTGTCGGGAATCGAAACGGAAGGGCGCCAGGTCTATCCAAGAGGAGCGTGAAAAATCTGAAAGGTTTTAGGAAGTTTCTGTCTGTCGATCCTTCCATCTTCTACCTATTTTCATCATGTATGCACGACACCCGTATATATGTACATGTCTATTGAGGCTTAGGGACTAGTGCAAGTAACTGCTGGCCTGGGATTGCCTCCGCCAATGGGAGTGTGGGCCTGGACGACCCCCACTTGCTTCGCCTTGCGGAGCAAGCCAGAGGGAGCGAGAGGGGGAGAGACAGAAGGAGAGAGAAGGAGATCCTGAACCCTGAACCCCAAACCCTCATGAACCCCCAAATTTTAAGTACTTGCTTCCAAGGTGCCATGGCCAGGCGCTTCATGACCTCCTCCTCGCCGTCGGCCACGCTGGAGACCGAGCTCCGAAATGGCCGCACCAGCTGCTCTTGAGCTCCGAAGAGCTCGAAGGTTCTTGGGAACAAAGACAAAAAGTCATGCCTTGGCTAGCACTTGGGGTTTAGGGGTTAAGGGTGCTGCAATGAGCTGGCAAGATTTGGCCCAAAGAAATCCAGAACATAATGGCATTCGTTGGTCGTCGTGGTTGCAGCAGCAGCAGGAGCAGGAGCAGTAGGAGTAGCAGTAGTAGCAGTAGTAGCAGTAGTAGCAGTAGTAGCAGTAGTAGCAGTAGTAGCAGTAGTAGCAGTGGTAGCAGCAGTAGCAGTAGTAGTAGCAGTAGTAGCAGCAGCAGCAGTAGCAGCAGTAGCACTAGTAGCACTAGTAGCACTAGTAGCACTAGTAGCACTAGTAGCACTAGTAGCACTAGTAGCACTAGTAGCACTAGTAGCACTAGTAGCACTAGTAGCACTAGTAGCACTAGTAGCACTAGTAGCAGCAGTAGTAGTAGTAGTAGTAGTAGTAGTAGTAGTAGTAGTAGTAGTACTAGTAGTAGTAGTAGTACTAGTAGTAGTAGTAGTAGTAGTAGTAGTAGTAGTAGTCAGAGTAAGTAAGTAAGTAAGTAGCGAATAGCGAGTAGCTAGTAGCGAGTAGCTGCTGGCTAGTAGCGAGTAGCCGGTAGCCCGTAAGCGAGAGCCGGTTGCCAGTAGCCACTAGCCAGTAGCCACTAGCCAGTAGCCAGTAGCCAGTGGCGAGTGGCGAGTGGCGAGTAGAGAGTAGCGAGTAGCGTGCTAGTAGTAGTAGTAGTAGTAGTAGGAGTAGTAGCAGTAGTAGTAGTGGTAGTAGTAGTAGTAGTAGTAGTAGTAGTAGTTGTAGTAGTAGTAGTAGTAGTAGTAGTAGTAGTAGTAGTAGTAGAGCAGTGTAGTACCCAGAGTAACAGCACCAGCACCACCACAACCACCACCACCACCTGCTCCTACCGCTTTCACCGCAGCTATCGTCTGTCTTGCAGGTTAGTTTCAGAAAGAAGAGAACCCTGCATTATACGAGAATCCTGAGTATAGGCCTCCCCCTGGCATATCGCACTAAATTCTTATAAGAGCCCGGCAAACCCCCCCAAAAAAAATTATATATAGAATCATATAGAAACCCTATATACTCCTCCATATGCCTTGGAAACGCCACATAAATAAACCCAAAAAACCAGAGACAGCCCATTATGTAGAGGCCTTAATGATTAGAGTAGGGTTTTGGAGCCCATGATACTATCAGTATAATCAGGAACCCCAAAACTGGCATAGGTAATTCGTAAGGTCCTTTATATTATAGTACCCTCATAGATCCCTTATAGTAGCCCTTTGTAGTCCCCTTTAAAGGAACCCTAGGGCCCTAATAGGAGCCTTTTCTAGGAACCCTCTAAAGGAACATAGTACGCCTATAGATCCCCAGTAGTATCCCTTATAGTCCCCTTTAACGGAACCCTAGGGCCCCTATATTAATGCCATCAGAGCGGCAAGCACAAATTCATTCGGTCCCACGAGCCATGTCGCCGACACGAAGAGCGATACGCCTTCTGTAGCATGGCCAGGGACCACTCCTCGGGAGAGTTATGAAGGTTGCTTTAAGGTCCCTTTTAAAGGGATCTAGAGGGATTCCTACTTGGAGGTTCATGGGTAGTTATGAGTGGGGTTAATAAAAGTCCCCTAATCTGGGTCATAAATACAGTTCCCCTACTTATAGCCCCACTGATACCTACCCACGAACCTCCAAGTAGCTTGTGGCAGGAGGGCCATGCTGTAGGGATTCCCGTTTGCGTCGAGGGTTTAGGGTCTAGGACACTGCGAGCCAAGATTAAGGCAGGGTTTCGGGCTCCATTCTTAAGGATCTAAGAACTTAGGGTGCAGGAACTGCGGGGGCCTTACTTTCCACTTTGCAGGGTTTCGGAATCCAAGGTGTTGGGCTAGGAATCTGAGGGAGCTATGCACCCCCCCCCCGCTTGGATCCCCCTCTGTTCAGGATCCCATAGAAAATTTAAAAAAAAACTGAGCCCCGCACTCTGCAGTTAGCCGGCTTTTGGTTCCTCATGATGTAGAGCAGCTCCTCACCATCTGCTCGGAACTTCACCCAATCCTGGGCGCTGTACCTCGCCAGGGAGTCTGGCTTTATACAGCACGTAATACTACATGTTTAGTGTACCATAGTATTAGTACAGTAGAGTATAGTACGGTCCCGTCCATCATCTTAAAGTGTGCCTATTCTGGTAGGTTGTAGAAGGGCTGAGCGCTTGGCAGACAACTGCCAAGAACACTGCCAAGAAATATGGTCGTACTCGCGGACAAAAGGCAAAAACTGTGAAAACGCAGTGGTAACAGAGTCATGCCGTGAGTACACTTGCATGACCCCCCCGGCGGCCACAGCAAGCCCCTCAAATCCAACAGTTTCTGATACAGTTTGGACGCATGAATGCTTGTCGAACGAAGGGGAACACCAAGGTTGCTTAGAGCTCGAGAGGCATGCAGAGCGGGAAAGCTCGAGAATGGAGCAGGGATGAGCTCCCGAAACGAAACAACGGCCCAAGACATGCATGCCTTTCGGGACTGTGGGAGGAGATCTGCCGCAACCCTACTGAAAATTTCCACATGATGATGGCAAGAGGAAATACAGCACTGCGCCACGGAAGTTTCAGAGAGTAGAAGACCCCTGCAGGCGCCAGACCGCAGCATCCTTCCTACGAAGAGCCCGGAAGAAGCCCAAAGTCGCCTCACCACGCCACTCTCAGGGCGATAGAGGCCGCGCTTGGTTTTCACCAGCTCCTGAAAGACTTTTAAGACTCCATGGCCGGTTCTGCTGTCCTTTGCAACTGATAACGCGACCCAAGATCCCAAGGCCCTAGCAGCCGCAGCAAAGCCTGAAGATGCCAAGCTCTTTTGAATGCGTGTCTAGCAGGGGAAGGAACCCAAATAGCAGCAGGGCTGCTCCTACTACTAACTAACTAACTAACTAACTCACTCACTAACTAACTAACTAACTAACTAACCAACTAACTAACTACTACTACTACTACTACTACTACTACTACTACTACTACTACTACTGCTACTACTACTACTACTACTGCGACTACTGCTACTGCTACTGCCACTATTCAATTGAACGCTGTGCGAGCGGGCTCTGCACATAGCGGGCGATTGCCGCGGTGCACTCACTTTGGTGTGAAACTGACTCAGACCCTATAGCTGATCCGCCCAGGTCAAAAGACCTTTGAGTGGTTGCGGCCTACAGGCTTTGAGCTAACTGGCAGTGATCAGCCAAAGCGAGTTTGCAGGCTGCAGGGTATCAAGCTCCAGATTGTTGTATGTACCTGAACATTGAAACGGAATTCGCGTTGTGTATGCTGTCAGCAGAGCAGCAGTAGCGCGACCGGCAGCAGGCTAGGGCATGATTTCCGACTGACAGCGGCGGCATCCGGCAGAAGGGCCATCAGTCTGTCTCGGAAGAGACGCAAGTGAGAACAGGCATGGCCTCCGCGACTTACTGCTTAGTCTGCCAGTGGCACCATTGGTTGCAGCGTTGGAGAGGGCATGCAGGGCGCTGCCTTGCCGCTGCTTGCCGCCTCCGGATGTCTGGCGTCGAGTGTCGACCCCAAGCGGCTCAGATGGCTCTCCCATTAGTGAATCTGGAGCCAGGGGAGAGGCGATTCGACCACTTTTGTGGTCCGGGCTGTGGATCGTGTCAGCCATGCTGGGTCAGCCTGAAAAGCTGCGGGTAAGCCTGCGCATGCCTAAAGCATGCTTGGCCTTGACGTGGGGGGGGCCATGCCCACCTATTGTGGGGTCCGGCCTTCCCACGCACAGGCACCCTATTGGTGCACGCATTCCTAGGTTTGGAGGGCCAGCACTCACCCCTTGAGGGTGAGTCAGAGTCACTCCTGTCTTCTCAAGAAAAGGAGGTAGCAGTCTTCCATAACATGTTTGCGATCTGAGGCCGAGGCTGGGTATGGGCGGGTGGCATCATCCCCCACATACAGCGCGCCTCCATTTGGGTGAATCCAGAAGGACCGGTAGTGGCCGGAGTGTATGTCAGCACCTATGTGAAAAACTCCCGAAATGACTGCATATTGATGCCATTGCCGGCCCTGACCCTCAATCCAAGACGGCATTGAGAGGTGCCTGCGCAGGTCCAGCGGGGTGCGTCGTTTTGTGCCGTCCATCCATCGAGCGATTGTGACTGGCAGGATGTCAGGGGCCCATGCCAGGGCGCGCTGGAACGTGTGGTCATACCATGCCGTGCAGGCCTGCTGCAGTGTACGACAGGCTGAGGAAAGGGGCAGCAGCAACGGCGTGAGGCCGTCATCCTCACTTTCCGGCACTCCATTAGTGCGTCCTTCCCAGCGAGCGGGTTGCAGAGTCCCCGTGTTGTGCTCTAGCATGTATGTGACAAATTCGGAGGCGTCTTGTTGACGGCCATCGAATCGCCATCTAGGCACTAAGGACCGGAGAGCGAATAGGCTTGGAGGGTTTATGTGCCTCGTATCCATTGGATCCGCTTCCGGGTTGATGCAGTGTTGGACCAGTGGTCCCAGTTCCGCTACATTGGACGCAGAGTCTAGCGCGGCTAGTAGGGCCTGAATGGTCGCATTGACATAGCAGGTGTTACCCGAGTTCACCATGTGTCGCATACGAGAATACAGGCCTGGCGGGAGAGTGCTGCCGACGGCGCCCGTCGTTGCCATGGCAACAGTGGGTGATGCAGCCGCGGTAGCTGGCTTGTCTGCAGCCCCAAAAAAGCCACTAAGTGACATTGTCACCGCGGTCTTGGGATGAGGCTTGGAACATTGTTCCCGCATCTTGTCCGTGCCTTGCACCTTGTGCCACCCAAGCAGAACCTGAAACAGGACAATGCATTGCTCAGGGTGTTTGCGTTTGTCATAGACCGGCAGCCTGCAAAAGGGGCAGGGGTGCCCCTTTATCATCTGCACAGAATAGGCCTTGCAAAGCTGAAGTGCTGCCGGACCATCTCGCTGCCATGCTTGTGCATGGGCCTGTCGTTGATGATTCTTCATCTTGGTATGGTCCGGGGTCCAAAAACCGCACAAAATGCACCGATGCTTAAGCTCCTGAGCCTCTGGCCGGGTGGCAATGGCACTGAGTTTGTTGCTGGGCGAACTCTGCACCTTGGCGCGAAAGGCCGCCAGGCCCTGGAGGGCCTGACCCTGCATCTGTTCCTCAGTGGTGAGAGAGATCTGACGCAGTCGTTCCGGCTGCGTGCAGGCCCCCGATAAGAGATGGTCACGTAGGCCTTTCCATTGATGGAAAGCCTTGTCGCATGCAGAACATACAGGTAGACCATCCTTGGAGTGCCGACTGCGATCAAAGGAGGGGGGAATGTACCTTTGCACGTGCTCGCGATGCATTCGCGTGACGTGCATGTGTAAGCCATGTGCAGAGACAAAACCCGACTCGCAGTGAGGGCAGGCGTGTAGCCGCTGCTGTGAGGCCTCGGTGCTCGCCGGGAGGTTTTCCACCTCTCTCAGCATGTCCTGTAGGTCCTGTACGACGTGGCTCAGTTGCGTGACGTCACCGTATGTATGTGGTTCAGACGGCTGCTGGTGTGTTGCTAGGCCCGTCGCTGGTGGACTCAGCCTGGCCCATGGGCCCCGCGTCGCTGAGGGTTCACTGGGAGTGTGTGCAGGCAGGGCTGTAGTGGTGGCTTCGGAGGGGGCTGTTCTCTTGCACAACCGCTTGAGTCTAGAAGCCATCCTTGTTTGGATTTTGGCTACCGGGTCTTGGATTGAATATAGTCGGTACAGGTCAGCTGTAGGTGTGTGGCCGACGTGTGCAGGCTGATTGAGGACCGAGCGTATCTTGTGTGCATACCAGCCTCTAAGATGCCTGGCCGTCTCCTCCGTGAGGCCGACTTCGGGGAGTCCCGTGACCAAGGTGGCCCAAACGGTGGTGAACCAGACCTTTAGCCTGGCCATTGGCCCCGCGGTGCGGCGATTGTAGACGAATCGCTTGACCTGCTGGAGCTTTTTGGCAGCCTCCGCTATGCGGAATCGCAGCGTCTGCATTTCAAAGTTCCCATAGGAAATTTGGATGCCCAGGTACTTGATTTGCGCCTCAAGTTTGTATGCAGGGAAGGATCTGTGCTTGCCCAGTCGCCAATGCCGCTGTAGTGTGCCCGTCGAGTCGGGCAGCCAGCAGGTGTGCTTCTGAAGCACGGCTTCCGCCTCTCTGCCGTTAAGCTTGACTAGCATGGCACATTTGGCCGGGTTGACGCGTAATCCCAGTTTCGTCACCTCCGACAGAAGCTGTAGGATCATCTTGTGAGCTGCGTCCACGTCTGCTTGGCTGCGGATGGTGCGATGCATGGTGAAGTCGTCCGCGTATCCTGTGAAGTATTTGCGGACATTGTCCCAGCCAAACGTGTCGATCAACCTATGAAGAAGGCGGCCCGTGAGCACAGAAAACAACGTGGGGGCCAACTTGCAGCCTTGTTTGATGCCCGTGGTGGTTTCCACGTCCTTGTAGGCCCCCTGAGAGTGAAGCCTGTACTTGGACCGATGATGAAGGCCATGTATGAGCTTCTGAAGGGAGGGGTCCGCGCCCAGTTCATCGAGCAGGGACAGAATCTCACTGCGAGAGACAGTGTCGAATGCCTGTGAAAGGTCAAGAGCGAAAGTGATGCCGCCGACTAGACCCACAGGACATTGTCCCCGCTGTTGATCTGCTCGGGTGAGATTCGCATTGCGACAGAGTTGCCTGGCTTCCCTCAAGTGCTGAACCACTCTACTCTGTGCGTCAGAGAGACCTCTCCCAGGGAGGTACGCAAACTGGGGCAGTGGCTTCATGTACGGCACTGTGAGAGGCTCCAGGAGCTCCTTGGCCGTGCCCGCCAGTCCCTTAGCATCCGGGCGAAGGATGCCCAGTGGCCTTAGTTGGGAAGGCTTGTCTGCCGGTTTACCCGGTTTTGGTATGAGGCAAAGATCCGCGCGAGTCAGATCGTCGTCCAGGGACTGGTCCTGCGCCAGACTGGAACAGTACTGTGAAAGTGCTTCTGAGACCGGCTGAGCGCAAAGTTTCCAGGCTGCGGCCGGTGCCGCTCCTTTTGGAACTGCCTTGCCAGGTTTGATCGAGGCAATGTGCTTCGCTAACTTGGTCTGTGGCAAGCGGGGCAACAGTCCCGAGTCTGACGGAAGCTGTGGATGCGCCGCGAAGACCTTGGCTGCATACTGCCCCAGTTCATCCAGTTCCTTCGCGGGACTGAGCAGGAAGCCCTGCTCGTCCTTGAGCTGTGCTTTCAAGGCCGGTTTCCACGGACGGAGATGCTTGAGAGTCTGATATGCAAGGTGCTGGTCGCCCTGGCTCAGAGCCTGATCCACCTCAGCAAGAAACCGCTTTGTTTGGCATTTTCGAGCCTGCTTAACCGCTTGTTTATGCTGCTCACACAGGGTTTGTCGGGCCTCATCATCCGGCGATGACTCTGCCCTGGGGTGAGCATTGCTCCCACGTGCAGAGCGCCACATGCGTCTGGCTATGCGCGTTTCCGGACTATCTGGCATTGCCACCGGGGTCTTAGGGAAAAACCTAGATGTCGCTTCGCCAAGGAGACGATCCCAAGACGCCGGCTGCATGTCCGGGGTGAGGCGTGCTTTGACCCATTCGAGCATTTGCTGGGCTGGCAACGTGTTGTCCCTGACAGCTGCTTGCAGGGCAGCAGAGTCGTAGTGATGTTGCTGTAGCTGAGGAGCAGGCAGGTTCCAGTGCCGAACTGGCTTGACAGTGGCACTTATGGGCAAGTGCCCGCCTTTTTTCCAGCTGCCCAGCGGGAAATCCGCCAGCGGCGTAGAGGCTTTGGCATAGCCACCAGCAGAGACCTCCCTCGTGAGCACAAAGTCAATCTGAGTGCGCGTTTCCCCTTGCCAAAATGTATGTGTCGGCTGAGGCCTCCACGTGTTGAGAGCAACTAAGCGATGATTGAGTAGAAAGTTGGTTAGCTCTGGCTCGTCGGGCCTCGGTTCTTGTGGGCAGATGGTCCCGGGACCTACCAGCCTAGGCTGCTTTTGTAAGGAGCTATTGAAGTCTCCTGCCAGGATGAGCGTGTCTCTGTGCGGCACTCGCTGCACGCATCGGCCGAGAGCCTTCAGGACGTGCGCTCTGTCCTGACGGTTAGTCTGCACCTGCTTGGCCGGGGACCAAACGTGTTGGTAGACAGCAACTAGCGTCATGCGGGCCCCATGCCAGTCAAACCTGACTTCCAGGGCTCTGCCTATGACATGTTCCTGCCAGCGCACACTCTTGGGCAAGATGTGTGGGGACAGGAAGACCATGACCCCGTCCGCGCGAGTTGTTGAGGGCTCCTTGCGGGGTGGGGTCGGCTTATCGTCAGTAGGCATTGCCTCTGCAGGTGGCTGTTTGTGGGCCTTGCCCCCGCGTTGCTTTCGCCTAGAGGCTTTCGGATCAGCCGCCGATGCAGACGAGACGCAATACCAGCCTGCAACACTAAATTCGGCCGTGGCTTGCCAGTGTGTCTCCTGCAGGACTAACACATCGCAGACGAGTTTGGCCTCAGTGGAGAGCCATGACTTGACTTCCGACCATTGTTGCTGGCCAAGATGGGCGGCATTCCAGGACAGTACTCGGAGGGGCCTGGTGGCCTGACCTGCCCGAGATCGTGGTGCAAAAGACCGCTTGGGGCCAGGCTGTGCCGGGCAATTGCCCATCCGCCTAAGAAGAGCCGGGGTCAGAACCTGACCTCGGTAAGAGACAGGCTGCTGGCTGGCAGCCACCTGTCGGCAAACATGCTTGAAAGAATTCTTCCTGATCTGAGAATAATTGTGTGAGTGCACTGGGAGCAGCGCCATCCGCTATTTCGTCACAAGGCAAGCCTAGTGACTCCCTCCACCACGCGGCTAGTGGAAACCCTACCGCCTGCCCAGTGGGCCCGTGTTGAGACAGGGTACTGGGTCCAGGAATTGGGACCTGGCGGCTCAGACGCAAACAGTTGGCACATGGCACATGGCTCAGCGTGAGGCACCAACCCTTAGTCGTTCAGAGAGAGGCCTGTTTGAGACCTCTAGCAACGAAGGGTTGGAGTCCAGAGCCAGTTCGAAAGCCAGCGCGAAACTTCCAAAACGTCTGAGCCGTGGCGGCTACTACTGCTACTAGTACTACTACTACCACTACGACCACCACCCCACGAAAGTAGTCAATACCCGCCGCCACAGAAGCGGAAGCCACACTAGTCGGCGACTCCTCGGCCACAGGAACCTCGACGATGGCACGATCGACTGGGCGAAGGTCACCGCTTTTCCATCGCGGCCAGCCTGGGGCCGACTGAGGCAGCTCTAAACGTCATGGGCTCTTTTGTATGTACAAGAGTGACAGGCCAAACATCGACAACCAGGCACATTTGTGTATATATAATATTTATGTGTGTATATATATATATGTATGTACATACATACACACACACACACACACACACGGATTGGGCTCAGGGCTGAGGCCGGAAACCAGCAGCAGAGTCAATCAAAGCAACATCCAGGTGCATGAATCACAAATTATGCGGAGATGCAAGCAGCGAAACAACATGCAATCCATATGTGAGTCATTAGGATCAAGGTTCCCCATGCCCTCATCCCTCTCATTCCAAGCCGCGCGGTCGAAAGGGCTGGTTCGGCTCTTCATCGGCCTCGGGGCAGATGCCGGTCGGAGCAAGTCACGAAAACAGAGCAGATACAGTGGCTTTGCAACACGAGTCTCCTCGACGACGACGACGACAACGACAACAAGCATAAGCACACCATGCGAATAGCTGCTCAACATCAATACCATCATCATCATCAGCATGTAGTGGAGTTCCTGAGCTTCTAGCAATTGGAGGTCCCGTGGTCGAAAGAAAAAACACTGGGACCAGTCTTCGAGTCGAGTGCTTCCTTTTCTGTGCGGGATCTTTTCGGTCTCGAATCACTGGGAAAGTAGGACATCAAGGAATAAGGAAAGCTCGCAGAGGTTTGCAGTCCAGAACTCACCAAGACCAGCTAAGAAGTACACCCGAAGCCCTCATCCCCCAAACTTCTGACTCAAGTGACTTGCCGGATCTACAGCTGCCTCCTCTTGTGCGACATTGACTTCACAAGAACTTCTACAAGTCTTCTTACTGCCCAAAAGCCCCGACCCTAAACCCTCGCCCGAGGCGCAGCTACGTCCGTGCCAGCCGGCAGTGCTGAGCCAGGCCTGTCGATGTGGTGACAGGAAAAGAAGTGGCATGTAGTCAGGCGACAGACATATACCTTTCCTCACAGTTAGTTGTATATACATAGATAGATATGAGTCTGCATACATGAAAAACTCGATATGTGTCCGTGTGTTAGAGTACATGCTCGAAAGTCCTACATGATTCCAGAAGCATTCAGAGCTTGCATGGCATGCTACCCATTCTAGCTCGAACAGTCTGGAAAGGCCTTTCGGCGACGGCCCCATTGCTCCAGTATGGCATGAGACAGCGCACAAGCACTTCAACATGCAAATGCTTGGATGTCACAAAACGACACCGACCTGCCGATGTGTCAGGTATCCTTCTTGCGTCTAGAGTTGGTAAGCACGGCGCTGTAGTGGCTATACTTGCTCGCAAATCTCAATGATAAAGGTACCCCTGAGGGCGCGTATCACATGAGTTATAAATCAGCTTGGGCAAAGAGCAATGTAATGTGCGACAGCAGCCTCATGCAGCCTCAACACCCTCAATAAGAACTAGGCTTTGAGTTTTGGCAGCCAAGAATGCAACAAGCTACAGCCATGGGTCAATCAAACTAGTTGCATGGCTCGGGTTACTCATGCTTATTCGACATTGCATGGGGTGCTTCTGCAAGAGCTGCGTCTGCTGCAGTTTCCGTCGTTTTCAGATGGCGCAGAGCCAGTCCTTCCGCCAACCATGCCGGCTGTGAGCCTGCTTGCTCTGAACACTTCGCTCAGGAGCGTCGATTGTGGGAGCGAGCTCATGTTGTGGATTGTTCCAGGAACATTTCCGGCATGTCTTCTTGATCCAGATGTCGACGAGCCGATCGCATGCTTGGCAGCGAAGGTGTCCGAAGTCACGCACAAGGACAAGGAAAGATGTGAGAGTTGTAGACCCATAATTTTCTGCAACACCACTGCAGAGCAGCGGTAGGCTTCCAGGTGAGAGGAGTGCGTCCGTGATTAGTCGCCGGTGCTCCGCAAACCCACCCACGGAACAGTTCCAGCCGTGCCGCTCAGACAGCGCCGGCCACGTCAAGCTGCGGGCAGCCCGACTGGTCGTCATCCGACAGGCCGCAAGGTCCTTCCACGAGCTCCTGACGAGACTGGGCTCGAGGCCTTACCGTTTTGATTCTTCACTTCCTGCCTCCGACATGTCGCAGCGCGACTGCTTGCTTCTCAACTCTAGCAACGCCTCTGGCTGAAGGAATGTCTGCTCTTGCCACTGGATAGCCTCAGAGTCCACATCAACACCAAGCTGCTGCAAAGACAAGTCCCCACATCCAGAATCGTCCGGAGAACTGCACTGAGGACACACGATCGGCTAAGATCGCGGCGAGCTGAATCGAGGCATATTCCGAAGCCAGCATAGCTTTCCTCCCAGCTTGGGCAGAACAACTTTCTAAACATCTTTCATCTCCGACTTAATCACTTGAAGCAGCATTCCTGCAAAATCAGCTGTATCCTTCCAAATATGACAGAAAATCAAAACAAAAAGCACGCGGGCAAGCTGCAGAACATTCTGGAGCGTGGAGTTCTTGCACAAATCCGTTCGGTGCCCGCGCCGGAAGTTGTAGCGCTTGAAGATCATCCCCCCTGGAAACGTCCCCGTCGCGCCTAGCCATGTTGCCATCCGGCCGTAAGTCTCCCTAGGTTTTTTTCTCAAGGATGCTTGGTGCACGACGAAGAGCCGCTCCTTAGCCGCCCTTAGAACCAGAATAAAAGAAAAGTAGTATTCTTATATTAACCCCCCGAAGTTTTATGATAACAAAACCAAATAGTATTCTTATTCATCCCCTTACGTTCTCTTATAAAATACTATTCTTACACATAAATCCCCTTCTAAGCTTCATTATAACCAAAAACCATCATATACCCCCACTGCTCTCAGTGAAGGCTCGTGGCCCAGGAGCTTTATCAACTCTTCGAGGTGCGGACCGAAGGCCTGGGCCTTGGCCCACATGCGCCTGACCCCGATCAGCGCCCGGGTGCCTGGGCTCAGGTTAAGGAACCTGGTTGAAGATACCATAGTAGGCTACTAAGGTTCATAACAGGGATAGCTTAAGATACCACAAAATTAGGCTACTATGGTTCATAATAGGGATCTATAGTAGATAACTTAAGATTCCATATTAGGCTATTATGGTTCATACTAGGGATCTATAGTAAATCATATATGGATCCTTATTATGGTAACCGAGACTAAGCCCCTGCACAAGAGCCCGGGTGCTTGGGTCGCAGTCTTTTCGATGGTTCAGGTGCCTTGGCACCGCGTCGAATCGCCGGACGGCCTCATCGAAGTTCTCGTGGCAGTAGTGCTGGTACATAAAGAGCTTCTCCAAACGTCGCAGAGGATCGCAGACCACCACGATCATCTTCACCTTCTTCATGAGGTAGAGGGCATAGTAGGACAAAGGGTAGGTTGCAATTCCGGGGTTGTTGAGGCCGAGCAACTGGGTGTCGCGACCTTTTCCAATGTAGCTGGCGCGGTGTGTTTCCAGCAGCTTCTTAGTTGGCACGAATTTGGACATCTGGCCCTGGCTAAACAAAGAGTAGTCTTCGTTGGACTTCCCACTGGTGAAGTCCAAGGAAGGGTGCTGGTACAGGTTGTTCAGGACTGATTGGGTGCCACAGCGGGCATTCCCGGCGACTACGAAGTCCAAGGAAACGTTTTTCCAACTCGACAGCTCATCGGCTGACACTTCTGCCGGAGGCTGGGGCAGCTGCAAGTTGCAGAAGTTTCCTAGTTCATGGTTGGGATAGGATGAAAATGTACGTGTTTATTCCTTATTGTTCAAGTACCCAGAAACATGTAAAATGTTACCCAACTGCTAACTATGACAAAGTTTCCCAGGAGCCTCTCCATGGCGAGCGGGGCGATTTCAAAGTCCTCACAGACTGCCGGACCGCAGAAGATTCCATAGAGGACCTCTCCCAGGGAATCATTCCTGGGTTCACATTCAGGAATTTAATTTCAGTTACCATAATAGGGTCTATAGCAGATAATATGTTTTCCTTATTGAGTATGGTAACTTGAACTAAATCCAATTTCAAGAACCCAGATTCGGGTCACCCATGCAATCGTAGAGTTTCTGGGCCAGAGACGCATTGCTCCCCCGAAGTCTCTCCAAAAAGGCCGCCAGATGGAGACCGACTTCCCACGAGCGCCCGCCGGCCAACAGGCAACATTCCTGAGACAGCTTTGAAAGGAATGCGTTCCTAGTCTTTTCGCGAAATCACATGGAACATCAAGTGCCGGCGAACACTTGTGCGCCATCCCATCCTTACCTCTCGCCCCTCGAAAAGCAATCCTTAAGAGGATCTTCCTTAACTCACCGAGCCCTTTCGCCTTCGATCCGAGCCTCGCAACTTGGTGAAACCGGAGGGCATCGAATTCTGAGGAGTCTGAGTCGTTGCAGCTGCGTTGACCGAGGTGCTCGGGCCCGGGCCCGGGTCTATGTTGCGGGGTCTTGGGGAGCTCCTAAGGCTCTAACCCAAAGCCCCGAAAACCCCGGTCAGGGCTGCAAGGCCCACGGTCAGCTTGGCAGTGACTCCGCCGCAGCGGTCGTAGTATGCGGACCGGAGGTCGGTCGTACAGCCGTAGTCACTGCACTCGATGGTTGTCAGGTCCGTCGACACGTCCATCTCAAGAGGCTCGACATGGCTCGACCACGGCTGACGAGAAGGGCAGAGTATCATGACAATGCAATCTCAGCCGCTTTACGGCCCACTTGTTCTCACGGCCTCCCTGGTACAGATTCAGCTTCGTCACCTGCTGAATGATGCGCATGTCGATAGCCAGTATCTGGCCATCCTTCTTCGAATCATTCCAGCAAACACAACTCATTCCGACGTCGTCGTCGCCTGCCTAAAATGTATTTCTATCGCTATCCCGCTAAGCAAAGGTGGCTGCTCATCATCAGAGCCCCTGGGGGAAAACACGGACAGCCACACCAGTGGGCATCTGAGTGAGCCGGCCCATGCTTGTGCAGACCTCGACCTCGTGCACATCCCAGCTGTTATAGCATGACCTAGCAGCGATCCCTCCGGACGCTCTGATGGAGATGTAACGAAATCCCTGTGCAGGGTTACAGATTTTCGTCGAGGAGGTCGAAGTCGCTATAGGTACCGGGCCGTCACCACCCAAGGAGCAGAACATGACACGTGGCAAGGAGGACCGGCAGCAACACTACCTGAAAGCCTCAACACTGCGGAGAAGTGCATATCAAGGGTTCCAACAGCTGGGCTTTCAGACGACAGAACTTTGCATTCACTTCTTGGCGGCTCGGCTTCAAGCCTTGAACTTTCTGCAACCTCAGCGCCGGCCTTGCTTCTACAACGCAAGCCTCACAATACCGTCGAGCTTCCAAGTTCTCCCAGACATGTTCGGAAAGCTTCTGCCGCAGGCTGACACCCTGGCAGGCTTCGACAATCTTCGACATCGTCGCTCGTTCTTCGATTCTTCCTCCCAAACATCCAACAAGTCCAGTCAAGGCTCGACATCCTTCGTCGCCTCCACCATGAACCCAAGCATCGTATCTCGGCCATCGTGGTGCATGCCCGGCCGGAACGTGGCGGGCATCCCCTCCCGGCATGGAGGCCTGCCAGAATCAGGGCAACCCTTCCATTCATCCAATCCGCACTTGCAAAACAGGTCCCTCAACAAGGGAGGGGGCTTAGGCTGCGGAGACCCAGGTGTTGATCACAAGAAGCTGCTCGTTTTCTAAGCCGTCCTACTTCGAGGAGGTCCGCCTGAAATCGGCGTAAGCCTGTTGGCAAGCCTGTTGGCCCTGCGCAAAACTTTCCACGACCGCAAGGGCACAGAGATGCCATCGTGCCATGGCATGCTATCATTTGCCCGCAAAGACTTGCCGGTTATGCAGTGGAGAACTACGGTGCATGAGAGTGCATGAACCAGGTCGGTGAAGCGTTCTCACGAAGACAGCTGCAGCCGAAGTCCCACAGACCAGACCAGATCTCTCGTGCAAAGCAAGCACAAAGAAATCCACGGCGAAGTACGGAAGGCACCTCTAAGGCTACCTGCATGGTGCGATCGCGCTCCCCCAGCTTCAGGTATACTCGGCTGGCCTTGGCCACGACCATCACTTGCAGCCGATTAGCTGGGGGGTCTTGGTAAGTACAACAGAGCCTTTTTTTTTGCTTGGGGTGATGGCGGATATATGACAGCATCACTATATAGGCAGTATACATACCAAAATACTCTGGCTAATTCCTGAGGCCCCATGTTACAAGATTCACTTCAAACGAGCTCGCCAAGGTCATGGCAACAAGCAGCGCATTGGCACAGGCTCGTCGCAGTCCTCTCAGAAATCGCACAATCCACAGCCGGAAACAAGACACAGGCAGAAACCGAAACAACCCATTGAATGCGAACCTCGCTCAGCCAGGTCTTGTGGAGCTTTTGATGCCAGGGCCACAGCCTCCACTGCAAACATCATCCACTTCCCCATAGAAGGTCTTCAAGCAACAAGCTCAATGATGTGACCAAACGGACATGAATGACCTACAAATGCGAATACTACCGCCGTCGTCAACATCATCGAAACCCTGGGACCAGTACTTGACGACAACAACGACAACAAAAACTATAACCACCATAACAACCACTACCAGACCGGAGCAGACAAGTCAATAGCTGCCGCAGGGGGAAAACTTGTCGCTGTCGTCGCACCCTTTTCATGGTCGTTATTCTCCTCGTTGGACTCGTCCCTCGTCCTCCGCTTTTACTCTTCTTTACCCTCCTCCTCTCGTCTTTGCAAGGCGACCTGTTAAAGATTCGACTGCGCTCCAAAACTAAGCGCAAGGAACCATCAGCGAACTGCATAAAAACTACCAGGTACGAGCTGCTAAGGCCTGAAACTACACCTCCTACAATCGGACCAGTTACGATGACTTACATGACTCCAGAAGCACCAGCTCGAGACTCCACAAGCTCTCCAATAAGAGTGCATCACTGTGCTGTTGCCTTCTATTAAAATGTCTACTTTATTCGGAATTTCTGCAAAGACGCTCGCTGGCTGGCCCCCTTGTGGGAGACCATCAGCAGCTAGACACTCAAGACGACAGCTAACAAGGTTCTGGATTATGCTGACATCACGGGTGTTCTGCAGCCTGCATGGCCTGCACGGTCAGAAAGGTTCCTGATCTGAGATGTTAGAAGTTGGAACTCCATTGCAATGTAAGCAAAAAGCGAGATCCCCTATCAGAAAAAATCCGCTGCAAGACTATTATTCTTGCAACTTGAACAACTAGTAAGCTAGCAGGTGCTTCGGCTGCCATCTGAAAACCTGGTCATCTGCTAAGAAACCGGCAAAGGAAGCAGGGAGGAAAGCTGTGATAGTGACAGGTGAATAATTTCTAGATGGTCTTGGGATCGTCGGCATCGAAAGACATCCATCATCAACCTTACTCGCACCATAACCATCACCACCATCATCACCGCAACAGATGTGCAACGCATCCCATCACCGTCATCAGCGGCAGCGCTGCAGCCTCCGGGCTCTGTCCGAGCGCAAGGTGCGCGAGTGCCTCAAGAACCGCCGAGCTGCGTTTGGTGGGCTTTTGTTCTGGAGCATGGACGCAAGTGAGACGAGAGTTCAGAGCTTAAGGTCCCAGGGTGGGTGGCGTGTCACGACGATGCCCTGGCTTGTGGCCAAGTTCTATGCTCAGTTGGCACAGCGAAACTCAGTACCCAAGCAGAGTAGTCGGTGAAGCGGTGCATAAAGGCTGTGAATCCCGCACGGAAGAGTCGCAAAAAGGGAAGCCCGCTCTGTTGGGTTGCACGTGTCAGGCATGAGCAGAGAGGTGCTTCAGGAGCATTATGATCTCGCTGCGCAATGTCTATGTGAAGTTTTGTCAAAATTATGGTTCCTTTTTGGGTCCATGATATAATACGGCACCTGCTATTTAGGGTACCCAAAACAGGACCCTAATTTTGACAACTACCCCTGTCTAACACCAGGACTGACAAGCGGGACTTTCGCGACATTCTGAAACCCACCGGACAAGCGAACCCTCCAAGTTTTGCAGACAAGAATATGCCGCGCCACTTGCCTATCCTTTACAAAGACCCTTCACAGATGGGAGTTTCCGAAAATTAGGGGTACCTTATTTTGGGGTTCTTGGGATCCTACCTTTCAGGGTACTATATTAGTGTCCCCTTTTTTTCTCAGAAACCACCATGTAACCCAAAAATTCCCTGAGGCGTCGCATGGCCCCTCAGCTCCCCACTGCGCTGCTGCTGGCGGCTGCCTGACCCGGCCTCGGTTGTTTGATAGTAGTTTTATAGGTTATGTATTTGGAAGAATATAGGATTGTTAGGTACTTGAGGTTATGTATTTGGAAGAATATAGGATTGTTAGGTACTTGAGGTTATGTATTTGGGAAAATATAGGATTGTTAGGTACTTGAGGTTATGTATTTGGGAGAATATGGGATTGTTAGGTACTTGGACCCCCAGGATAAAGTTTAGGGTTGTGGTAACCACGGCTTCCTACATTGGTTACTATAAGGGTAGTTGTCAAAATTAGGGTCCCTTTGTGGGTACCCTAAATACTAGGTGCCGTATTACATTAGGGGCCCAAAAAAGGTACCAAAATTTTGACAACCACTCAATAGGGTTTGGGACACGGTAAAGAGTTTCAGGGTGAGGGTAAAGGTTGAGGGTTTAGCCACTCATTGGCTTGTCAGTGTGTGTGTGTGACGAAAAGCTCTTGCCATCCTAGAGCGGTCTAGACAGTTGGACTTTGTAAATTTGTTGGCTTGCTCCTTAGCTTACTTATGCTGGTTTACATCATTGCCCCTCACGGCAATTATCTTTTGTGATGAAAAGGCCTCGCAATCCCATAAGCTTCCCGCACATCTCCAAGCTCCTCATGGGACAACAGATGTCGCTGCAATTTGTCTCGCTGCTACGATCATTCTGCGCGTGCACTTCACAATGCCGCTAGTACTATCGCTGCCACTACCTAGATACTCTCAATATAGTTAATGAGAGTTGCAGTTCTGCTTTACTGTTGCCGTTCTAATTCCTGCTTCTCTTGCGACTGTAGCTACTATTGGGGCAATCGTCATCATTGCTCGCCTTGGCCTATTTCCCTTTACTGCAGAGATGGAGTTGCACATGGCAAGTTGTAAGTTGCAGGAAGAAAGTAGCGAGTAGTCGTCGTCGTTGTCGTAAGTCTAAGTCGTAGTCGTCGTCGTAGTAGTAGTAGTAGTAGCAGTAGTAGTCGTCGGCGTCGTCGTCGTGGTTTTAGTAGTAGCAGCAGCAGTCGTCGTCGTAGTGGTAGCAGTAGTAGTAGTAGTAGTAGTAGTAGTAGTAGTAGTAGTAGTAGTAGTAGGAGCAGTAATTGTAGTAGTTGTTCTTGTACTAGAGAAGCACTAGTTGCAGCTGCAGCAATGCTAGAATGCGCATCATGCTTTGCGTTAGGGACCGAAGTGTCCTGTTGACTGGAAGTAAACAATACTAGTATCAGCACAGTCAGTCATATTCGCACTTGCATTTGCATCGGCAGTCGTCCCTCTCCTCTTGTTACCCATTATGTTTGATTCAGAATGTTCCTAAGAAGAAATGAAGAGCAAACATCGTCATAATACTGGTAAAACATGCAGTACGGAGCATGGCT